GCGTTCATATTCCAAATAAATGGTAGCGCACTTATTACATTCATTGTTGGATTATGCCATCGCATCTTGCACAAAATTGATTGGGAGCCGATTGACGGGCAGTATATATGGAAGTCGAGCTCACGAACGCCAGAGATGAGCGACTCGACAAGCTTTTTTGGCCTTTATCGCTGCACGGTGAACAGAATGACAGAATTTTAATATTGTTATGTACCACCATGGATGTCTGGTGACCTTGAAATAGTCTTCCCGAAATCGGTTTTCGCTCAGTCCCCGGTCACATAACCCGAATTTAACCCGAAAGGAAGAGAGTGGTCTAGTTGGGTCACAGGGGCTGTTGAGCCCGTTGGGCTCATCTTCGTTGTTGTATTGACCGCTTTTTATTCAAGTTAGCCCAAAATACGCGCACATTTCAATCATTTTGGTTTAAAAACGTGTTGTGAGCATTTACGCTTGGTGAAGCTTTGGCAATAGAATTCTTCAAAAACTTCGGCCCTATACGCTGAAATTTATAGCGACCGGTGGCACTTGGTGGCGTCGTTTTTACAATCTGGGAGCGGGTCACCCACGCGAACAGAGTTATAAGATTTCACGTCTCGCGGTCACCTCCGTTAACGCATCACTCGCGGTGCGCGCCTTCATCCGTGCAAATTCGCTAGAGCGCCGTAGCAAATGCCATAGCAGCGCACCAAAACCTTCGCGTTCGAAACACGCATTCAGCAGCGAAATCTGACTTTTAGCCAGTAACCTGTCGAAGTTTGGACCATTTGTGCAGCACCATCGCTAACGTCGCAAATGCATAAGCGACCATGCGTTTTTTGACTATGAGCAGAAACAGCACGTGAGATGACGGTGTTTGTATGACGCTCCTATGACGTCATGCATGCCTGAGTGACCTTGTAATAGCCTGCACATCTTCGCAGCCTTGAAGCTCAAGAACCAGAGGGTTTTAGGCCTTAAAGGGAGCATTTTACATTTGTATGGAGTTATGAACTGAAATAGCCATCTTGAAGATCATTCGGTGCTTTGGCTATTTGGTTATTTGGCTTAGAGCCTTTTTGACTATCATGATCCTTTCAGAGCTATGGGATGAAATAGAACGGACAACGGCGGAGCAGGACTACATGGGCCTAGGGGAACGGCCACCGAGCCTTAGCTTGCGCAAAGACCCTTCTGCAGGGAATGCGCCGGGCGCTCGGTCAGGGGTTCCCCCTCCAGGAGGCCTCTCAGCCCATTCGCGGTTGACGCATGCGGTCTGCCCTGGACAAGCGGGGCGTCGCGAGGATGCTGGATAAAGCAAGAAAGAGGATCAGAGGGTCGGAGGGCATTCGGTGCAATTCACAGCCCTGCCCTTCTCCCGACCCAACCCCCGCTTATTTCTTGGCTACACACCCGCGAAGATGTGCAGACTATTTCGAGGTTACCAGACATCCATGACGCCAAAATAATAATATTAAAATGCTGCCATTTCCTTAGCCATGCAAAGATGAAGACCAAAAAAAGCTTGCCGAGTCGCTCATGTCTGGCGTTCGTGAGCACGACTTCCAGACAAAATGGCCGTCAATCGGCTCTCAATCAATTCTGTGCAATAAGCGATGTCATAATCCAACAATGACGTAATGAGAAGAATATTTATTTAGCAGAGAAATTGGGCTGTGCAGAGGAGCCTCTTTTACTTAAATCTATACTAATAGTTAATAAGCAAATTTGGTTCATCACATCTGATGGTTGCTTTAATATCTTCAAACGTGGAACATTCTCTTCAAGCTTGTCAGATCTAGTACTGTTTACAAACCGCGTCCGAGCGGGCATCGAGGCCCCGAGGTGCGTCACTAAGATCGCATAATGCACGGTACTGTGGCCGCCACGTGTTTTTGTTTCGTTAAAATGCATTGAAGACATTTACATTCTAAGTGGCAAACCAAGATGGCGACCATGCTGCTGATGAATAATTTAGCTGTCCTTCTGCATACGACCCTCTCCAAATAAGCTTTATAAGAAAAGCGTGGCCACCAGCATATCTTTAAAGGAAGTGGTTCATAGCGGCGACACTTGTACGCTGACTTGCCTGGCGGCCACAGGTAAAGACGTTGGGAGATAGAGGGCGGCCGTTAATGGGGTGATGACCGCCAGCCACATCTCCAGCTATCAAGACAACGGAAACATCCGCGAGATGAAAAGATGGAACACCACCTGTGCGAAGAAGAAGACAAAGGTACGCGGACGTGGACGAAGAGGGCGAGCGTTCGAGATGGCTAGTCTTTGTAAGCGGTCGCGGCTGTCGTCATGTAGCTGTGCGGATGGGAACCCAAATTGTGTAGTGTTTGTGCACTGCTTGCCCTATCATTAGCAAAATTATCTGCACCAACACCCCTCACCGTCTCCATGACGACCATTGTTTGGATTCATAGCCGAAGGTTTTCTAACTCCGCCCTCTCTCTCTCTCTCTCTCTCTCTCTCCCTCTTTCTGAATTTTCGACGCGCGGAAACTTTGAGGCGTGACGCTACGGAAAAAGGCATCAGGGTTTCCCATCTTTAGCCCCGGTACTTCATTTTAATTTGCGAATGAAAATCCATTGAGGGAAGACTGGTCCTCAGTAATTTGTTTTAAAATACTTAGTCCCGGGCTTTTGACGACAATAGGTTCTAACATTACTCTGCAGCTGAAACCGGCGGCAAATGGCCAAGTTAGTTTAGATGACTATAAACCAAGGACTGCATTAGCAGACCTTAAGAAGACAAAAAATAAAATAAAACCCATGTTCTCACTATTGTAACACACGTGCAAAACAACTTCAAGGACCATCAGTGAGCACAATAAAAACTGAGCGATGTTGGAACACGTGAACTACTGCCCACTGCGTGCGCCGCCTCGAAACAGTACCGCCCAAACCAATGCCCGTCTGCAGATCAGGTACGGTGCGGGGGCCCGACGGACCAGACGACCCCATGCCGCATTGCTGGGGAGGGGGAGGGGCGCGGCCGAGGGCCGGCGCACCGCCGAGGGCAAATTAGCTGTGACAGACCGCGGCGGGGCAGCCCGATTATCGGGATGAAATTGATATGGCCGCCGAGCAGGGATCGGTCTCGACACGATTCATTTGGCTATCGACAGGGTAATGGAGGTCCGCGAAGGTCCGGCGACAGCTGCGAGATGGTAGCAAAGTGGCAAGGGAAAGCAAGACGGCAACGGAGGGAGGCAGCACAGAAGGGAGGGAAGAGGCAGGGGAGGTGGAGTTGGCTCATGACAGGTAGAAAGAAAGGTTAAAAGGGAGAGAAAGGCAAGCGCTAAATAGCATAAATGATGCAACTTTCCAGGCCACGAGCGTAAAAGCGTGAGCATATCATGTTGAGAACAGCAATTTTCTCGGACACATAAGTGGCAGATGAGGCCAAATTTAACGTTGCCACCAACCGAAAATGCGGTCACCGGTATACTGCCGACGCAGCGGAAGCACGTTGGCCTTGACGTAAGCAAGAACAGCCTTGGACTCCTGCACGGGTGCCGATTTGTATCCTTTTGTGAGGGCCCTGCTCCCCCCCCCCCATGTTGAGTTGGGCACCCCCGATGTTGGCTTGGCTCCCCCCAATGTTTTTGGTTGGAATACTACAAACAAACGATCTTATTTGATCTTTCTGCATAATGGTGTCTCGCACCACTCTCTTAACAAAAAGCCATGACTGCTTTCGCCATAAGATACAAATCGAATAGCTGAGCAGATGAAGGATGCAATGAGCTCCACATACCTAGCGCCATAAAACACGCAATAGTTTGTGAGGTTAAAGTGAAAAGGTCTCGAATGTAGGGATGACCTAAGTCCTTCATGGCTAACCCCTTCTCTGTCCCCCAAAACCAAAGGCGTGCCGCCTCCCATGACCACCATAGAAGAGCGCCATCGGCGCCCTAAGGGGGTCTCTAAAGGAGCGCTCTCACGTGCCGGTAGGAAGAGATGCTTGCGTCCAGTGCCTGCTCCTCGGGTTCGACCCTGCACGACTCCTATGCTGCTTAAATTGCAAACTTTTGTAAATAATACAAAGGTTAAAAACGTACATTGCTGCAATCAAAATAAAATGGGGTAAATCCGGTGCTAAAAGAATGGGTGGGGGAGGTATGTTGTCGGGCATTCGGTTCAGCCCCCAACAATCTACAAAAATTGGTAATCCTGGACTACTGGACCGTACTGGACTGGACTGGACTGGACTAGTTTTTTCGGCATTATAAGTTTAAACACTGCTAATACCATACTCGACTCCTAACCGTAAAAACTGCTGGAAACGTCGATAATGCGTCGAACATTTTCGACATATATACAAATGGTTACTTTAGATCTTAGTTTCACCAGCACCTTCTAGTAAATGAAAGGTCAATTGTTTTCAGCATAAAACCTCATAGATAGGTTCGATTGTTAGCGTTTCGGCGGGGCGGAAGAGTGTATGTCGTTTTTGCTTCTGGCAGTCAACAAACCTTATTGTCTTTTGCATAGCAAAGTATAGAAGCCAAACAATGCTTGTGAATGTTCTTTGAAGTCCGTAGAAATAATTAGTGTAGCATGGTGGCATAGTGAACATGCATACTTTGCTACATACAACTTTGGTTTGGATAGAAGACGGAAGGCCAGGCTAGAAGGGAATCCGCACGTTTTGTCTTCTACAGATACAGTTCAGGTTTCGTTCTGCTATGCACCTAGTAGATATTACCCAATACGGCGGAGAGAATGTAGTCTCTAGCACATGCCGTTAAACCAGGTGTTATACAACCGGCTGAAACTAATAAGGTCTTCGAACAGGTTCAGTGAATACCCCACAGCCACAGCCCGATATCCACAGAATGCGGTAAATGATCTATCCACCGATGCTGTCGGTGCTTCAAAATTTTCCTAACTGATGTTACAGTCCGTCAAAACTGATCACGACACTCTAGTTCTTCAGCAAGTTATTTTTCATCGGAGTTTGAAAATACGCTATCTTGGCCGAGATGCTTCACAGCAGATATCGCTTACCTGATGAGAGCAGAAAAAAGCAGTTGAGAACGAAGAGGTGAATCTTCCCCATAGCTCAGGCCTGAAAAAGAAGTCTGTTAACCTTCACTGATATATACTGAGGGCATCATTTTCAAACACTTTGTTACGAGATCATGTGATGATTCGTTCATTGACACTTCTAAAATTGTTCATCTTCATGATAATCTGTTCATCATTCATGGATAATAGTGTTCAATTAGCTCACCTTACCAGACATGAGCACGGTTTCCATTGCAGGTTCCTGGTTCCTCTAGTTCCCATAAACAACGAGATCCTGGATTGTCGTTCCTACTGCTTTTCGTAAAGCATAGCAGCTGGCTTCTGGGTTTCACTGGTTTCTTTTGCAAGCACTTGAACCTAATTCGTCGTGCTCACTGCTCTTTCCACAAGCTTCGCCGACTAGCTCGTGGTTCCCATTGCCAAGCATCAGCAGACTTTGGTTTTCGATTCTCACCGACTCCTTAACGAACACCCAGCCCTAGTTTCTAGCTTCCTTCATTATTTTTGTTATAAGCACGAGGTCCCGGCTCCTGTTTTTTTGGCACATGTCAGAGCTAGTCTTTTGAATTTCATTGGACCTTTGCAAACAGCCTCAGCAGCAGTTCTTTGGTAACAGTATACAATAGCAGACCTTGGTTCAGTTTCCATTGGATCACTCACAAAAGGCCATATACTGATTCCTAATTTTTCTTGGCATATCTACAAAAAACAGACCTGGTTACCATTTGGCAGTGCCTAACAGCTGCACAAATATTTGGTCTGAAATAATGGTATTGCATAAAGCATGCTGAGGTCTTTAGCAAAGACATTCTTGTCGTTAAATGCAAATGTTTTGGAGACAGCAACATTTTTCCACCAAATTTCAGGCAGATTATAGTTGCTGCGTAAGAAATCAAAAATTCGATGCCGGACAGCTGTAACCAAAAGAGTTGCATGACCCTAGGCTTCCACTTTACGAATTTTCCTGTTACCTCATGACCCGAGGTTCCTACCTTGAAGGCCTGAAGGTCCGTTTTAAGGCATCCTCCACACAAATCAAAGGGATGGCGACGCCTCTCCAGAATGTACAATTTTGGTCTGCGCATGGTCATTAATGGCATATACACGTATATTTTATATTCCGAGCGCAAGAAGTCCAGAACCGGACCCGACAGGCTGCTTACCCTGTTTGTCTCCCTCAATACTTTCGTTCATGGGACTTGACATCACTACTATCAACACATACATTACCATTACCCATGGTTTTTGTATAATATATATAGTCATAGCAAACTAACAGTTGTAGTTGTATAGTTATATATATATATATATATATATATATATATATATATATATATATATATATATATACAGACTAGTTATATAAGCCAAAACAAAGTTTCAGGTAAAATTATTGATCTTGCTGGTTTTCATGAGATCACTCTGAGCCAGATCTTTGTCTTAGCAAAATCCTCACAATAACTGCTTGCTGGGCACCGGCTCCTGCAGGATCTCTTGGCGCACTGCAAGTTAGATTGAACTACGATTGCAATGATCTTTTCATACTCTAGCCCATTCTTGCTTGACTTCGTGGTTAAGTGCCAAGCAGGATTCTGGTTCCTGTTAGTTCCCTACGCATAATTCATTGCGGGATCCTGGTTCCAGCTGGATCCTTAGCCTGGTTTCAGACCGGTTTAGAGGTTCTTTCTTATTACGGAGCCAAAAACCGACAACCGACAGAGGCCTTGTGAAGAAGGCTTTTGCGTGATGAACACTAATCATACGCATCAATGTATGGTTTCAGAGCGTGGGATGGACAAGACACAAAGGATTCGCAGTCAGCACCAAGCTCTAACAACAGCAACATCATTTCAAGTGGGCACAGTAATCGCCGCTAAAGTAGGCTACATAGTTGATAATTTGCTACTGCGAATTTCAGTGGCCAAACAATCATTTCATCTTCTTTCAGGGTGTTCGACAATGCTCCAAAACCAATCGCTTCGTGTCGAAAAACATAAGAGTAGGAGTTCATGGGGTTCATGGTGGTGCCTTACAAAAATGGCATGTAATTTTGCAGCAAGCAGAAGTTAAGCGTGTTGTAATCATTGGAGAGATTTGTCCAGCGACTACCTTAAGCCTTTAAGCCATGCTAAGAGACGACGTGATGATATGACTCGGCACATCAGCGGAAACCACCCACGTTATCATTTTTAAAGCCAGCGCCAGTTCCATCATTTCTGCAGCTCTAATTTCGCCCGTCCAGCCATTTTAATCCGCCAGTTCCCAGTGGAAATATTTCCAAAGTAAAGCGAAATGAAAAGTAATGAAAATATCCGAATACCTCCTCTCCAGGGTCGGGAAGTGGCCGGCGTCTGAGCGAGGCTGCCAGCGCCAGTTTGGCCACTAGGGGCAATCCTATCCACAACCTGGCGAACCTGCACCTTCATCAATCATGGCCAAAGCAAACGGTCTACCATCAAAGCCGTATTCAAACGGGTGGTCTGTGAGTTGCGGCGGGGCCGCTGAGGCCTTGCTCGCGGGCGGCAAGAGCGGGATTGGCGAGCGGCACGGTAAGACGGTGCGCCAATCATACAAATGGCTGCCGGCCGATCCTCCCTCGTATTGTTTGTTGGCTGCGTGCATCAAAGCGGTGTGTTTACCTTACTCTCGCGGAAAACTGGGCCCGGAAGGGAAAACAAATTGCTCATCGCGATGCAAAGTAGAGCGATGAGATATTTATGGCCGTCGAATTGCCGTGGCAAAAACTGGCCCCGGCCAGCCGGATGCTCGGGGCCTTTATTCGACGTGACATCCCAGGATTATTGTGTCATTCCCGGCCCCACCAGTAAAGGCTGGAATCATTTAGTCGAATGGCTTCGAGGAATTGACGCCAATTGCGACAGCTCGGTCTCGAATGATTTTGGTCTAACAATTCGGGGCGGTGTTATGGAAAAGTTGTCCTACTTTCTCGGTAGTATTGTCGAGAAAAGGGTCCATTACGTGCCGCGGAGCGGAGCAGCTGCGGCATACCCTGGTAGCGTTTTGTGAGCCCTGGTCTCTTATGTCGCGCCGGCAACGGACACCTTACCGCGTGGAGCCACGGGTCCCTTATCCCTAAAGAGAGTCAGAGTTCCGCTCCCTCTCTTATCCCGGGGAGCGACGCTGACTCCCTCCACTGATACAGCCCGCACCCTCACCCGCACGGCCCTTCAACTCCTCTGCTCTCCCGCAGCGAGCGGGAGCAATGAGCTCTTCTTTGGTGCGGCCGTTGGCGCCCATCTGTGCGCGCACTTACGCACCACTGTTTTGCACACACCCTCAATCAATTTACGGTTTCCTTATTTATCGCTGTCATCGGCTCAAGTGGGGTCATCATGGCCAATGAGGCCCGGCCGGCCGGGCCCGAGACGCCCGGAGCGCGAGCTGCCTGCTCCAGGCGGGACCACCGCGCGTAACGGCACGACTCTGTCGCAGGGTGCAGCGGACTGCCAGGCTCCACTGGGACTAGTGCTCAGAGCAGGGGCTCTGTCGAAACCCGCAGCTCAGTGCGGTGAAACTCGAGAGCGCTGAGATTTTTTTTACCAAGGAAGTCGTGAACCTGTTTATTTTTCGTGTGATTAACATTTGACAACTTAGGTTTATTCTCTTTGCGAACAAATTCCAAAAATTGAAGCAGCCAGAAAGCAATAGTTGGCGTTATACAAAATACACAATGCCTCAAAAAGCTACGCTTTGTTAGCTCCACCGGGTTCTCTGCAGAGGCAGATTCTACTCTCCCCACTGGCATTCTGCTTGCTGGCTTACTTCTCCTGAACCTTTCGCAACACAGGCATGACATTTTTAGGCTTAATGGACGCAGTAAGCTGTCAAACGATGCCACAAATTTCGTAATTTGCTCTCCTGATCCCCTATTAAAAAATGCTAAATTTGAATAGAGAAATAAAGATCTTTGTTGCGATAAATCGACTGGCGTTTTTTCAATCACCGTGTGACGAGCGCTTCACTGTACATCTGAGGAGTTTACCCTTCAGTGCATATTGATGCGAATGATGGATGATGTTGCGTTGGAGTGATGATCTTGTCACTTCGCTGCAATTATTCTTATTTTTGTGGGTGACTATGAACGACAATCAGAAATGTACAAAAGGTGGAGACATATACATGCTTATGTGCTTTAAGTACTTACTATACATTTGAGGCATTGTGAAGTTTAAGTACATACTTCACATTCTTTGAAGGAAAATATCGTTTTCATGCAATTCCTTTAGCGTGCAACAGGTAAACCACGTATATCCAACTACGAATAAGCTTTTTATATCAAATGATACCCTTCATAGACATTTCTTCAGCCCGTACTTTTAATTCACCCAAATTCTAAGAAAATACTAGGCCTGGCAATCAGCAATGTGCATTAGTCGAAGACGTTGGATGCCGGCTGCCCCATTATTGTTCACATCAGCGCTTTGTGGAGCAAGGTGTGCTTTAAAAATCGTTTATTCAAGGATCGTTGATCTTGGATCATGTTAACTTACCTGCACGCTCTGTAAGTATTGTAAGTATGCTTCGGGAGTGCTGTAAGTAAACTCCGTAAGTATTGCATATCTATGACCAGGGACGCTGCAAGGATATGGGAGTTTGATGGCGTCTGGGTTAGAGATATCACCGGATATTTTTGATAAGTTTTGAAAAGCTTCTTTAGGAAGAGATCTGACGCAACACCCACCCATAAAAGCATGTTTTTGCCATCAGCCAGCTAACCACAATTTTATCAATTTATGCGTCCTTACAAACACGTTTTTAAATCTCCGTGAGAAGCTTTTCATACAAATTCCTGATAAAGATGTGTGGTTAGAAAACAAACGTTGAAAATATCTTTTCTAGAGTTCATAAACATTTTTCACCGTAATCCATTGCAAAAACTGCAAGTGAAACGGCTTCCCCTAAAACTTAGCGATTATTATAATTATTTACGTAATATTTTTATGCGCTTGATCATTATTTACTTAGAGCTACTTGAAAAAAACATTCCTTTCGCGAAAAGTGGCCTGTGCTGCGGAATATCACGCAACAGAGCTTCGTTCAATATTGATATTCGTGCGTAAGATTTACAAGCATTGCAATGCTTCGGGTTTGCGTGCGAACGCGTGTGGAATCTTTAGAATAGCCAGTAAGCAGGAAAAGTACACCTTTTGAGTGACCCCTTTCTCCTCCTCGAGGCATCTCTCTCTCTTCTCTTCCTGTCACCACCGCGCCTAATTTCCTCTCTTGTGGCCAATTCGCTCCCCGGCAACGATGGTTCGCG